GGCAGGAAAACCAGCATGGATATTCTTGGAGTCAAATGCAAGGCTTGCAGAACATTTAATATAGAGCCATGTGTCTAAATTCTTTTCGAGTTCTGACTGAACCACTTTGCCTGCTCTCCCCTCCCCCCCTACCCCATGCCTCCAAGGCACGGCTGGATTGCTCAGCTGGGCTCCAGGGAGCCAGCTGGAGAAGCCACTTTTCACAGGAAAACGCAGCTTCCAGGCTCAGCATTCAGGGCCGTCTGTCCACTTTCGTCTACTTATTTTTAAGGTTTTTATTTTTAAGTAATCTCTACACCCAACATGGGGCTTGAACTCTTGATCTTGAAGATCAAGAGTCCCGCGTTCGGCTCCACTGACTGAGCCAGTCAGCCCCGCCCCCACCTGCTCTTCCTTCTCACCCCTCCTCCTCCCCTTTGCGCGGACAGCATCCACGACCGGCCCTTCTGTTCCACACCTCTCTGCCTTTGCCCAGCGGTTCCCTCTGCTTGGAATACTCTGGCCTCTCTGCCCTCCGGCCTACCCATGGCCTCTATCAGCTTGCCACATGGGCTCCACCGCTCGGTACCCCAAGTCGGCTCAGAGAAACCCTTTGCATTATTGTGCTGTCTGGGTCAGGATTTACAAGAAGGCCTTGAGTGCAAAGCTCAGACCTCCCTGATACCCAGAGCCACTCGGGGCTCCTAGTAGGACCTCATGGTTTAGATGTATCAAATTGAGACCTTCAAAGACGCCCCTCCCGGAAGGCCACCCAGTGCAGATTTCTGTGCAGTCAGCAGGGGGCGGTGTGGACCCAGGATGGCCCCAGGTTCCCCCACACCGCTTCGGCTGGGTCTAGACTCTCCCAGCCCCAAGGCCTCTCCCTAGGACAAGTAAACCAGCTGGACCCTGAGGGAGGGGTTAAAGGCAGGCTCCGTGGTCCCTGCCTCAGCTTCTCCTGGGCATCGCCACCCTGACGCTCCTCCAGCGTAGGAAGGCGGAGTCACCCTCACCTATAAGGACAGGATCCAGCTGCTTCCAGACTTCATCCTCCCTCTTTTCCATGGGCTGTCGGCAACCTTCTGCCCCCGTCTGTGCCCAGGCCGCTCTCCACCCAAAGATCCTCCTTCAGAGTTGGGGGCCTTCAGTGCTCATCTCTCCAAAATTCTAACCACAAGGAGCACTCCCTTCACCAGTCCACTGGGCTCCACCTCCTTGCTCACCCTAAAGTGATGACATTGCTGTTACCTTGGTAACAGATGCTTTGTGGGTGGGTAGGACACCATCAGAGGCTTGGGAGGTGGGGGGGGGCACACTGGCACAGGACCTGGGGAGGGTACAGACAGGCTGTGACTCCGGGCCCCATGACTGCTGTCAGCCCTATGGTCCCAGCCCCCAGGAGAAAAGAAACAGAGTAGAAGGAGATGTCTTTCAGGAAGGTGAGGTTTTCTTCATGGAGGAAAGGGACACATAATCCCAAGGTCACTATCCCCCTCCCATGTAAACTGGTGTCTGGGACAGCCTCAGTTTGCCTGGTGGGGGGCAGGCAGGGATTGTATATACTGGAGCCCATGTCGTTCCCCTCCAGGGAGCCTGGGGCACAGGGAGAGGGAACAGCTCCCCCAGATTGTGTTAGAGACAGTGCCACAGGCAGTGGGAGGGCGGCTCTATGCCAGTGTCCTGACCTCCAGGGGTTGGTGACAGCAAGGAGTGGTGGAAGGGTTCTCCTCCAGCCCCTGGGGACCTGGCTGTCCCAGATGCCACAGCCAGGAAGTGTGTCAGGCACTTGCGTAAGAGCCTTCTATATTTCCATAAAATCATAATTACTGATGCCTGCCATGGGCCTTAGCTCATTAGAGCAGTATCTGTCTCTGGGGCCCTGGTGGGCTGGCGGGGGAGATAGGGGAGACTGGGCAAGGCCAGCCCTCTCACTGTGTTCCCTGTGTCCCCTGACCCACGGAGCCTGGGCCCTCTTCCTTTCCTCAGCTGGGAGATGAGAACCAGACTTGACCTCAACCGTGACAGACTCCCTACCCTAGAAGCTCCAACTCTAAAGTTGGAGAAAAAGACCAACCAATCGTGTTTTCAGCTTGAGGGTGGGGGCACTTGGCAACTCATGGGGGCAGAGGCCACAGCAGGGAGGGACTTGAGCTGAAGGTGTTGTTAAGGGAGAAAATAGGTCAGTCCTTATGGAAGGAGAAGCAATCCCTCCCATCAGAGACTCTCATCCGCTCAGAGTGGAGGGGTCCTGGGGATCCTTCAGGCCATTGGTTCTTAATCTTTTGGGAATCTTAGATTCTCTGAGGAGAAGGTGAAAGCTCTAGGCTGTCCCACAGAAAATGCTTATCCAACATTTTATACAGCTTCAAGGGATTCATGAACCCCTTGAAGCTTGCCTGCAAGTTCAAGGTTAAGTATCCCTAAATAAATGGACAGGTAGATAGACAGGTAAATACTATTTACTATGCCCTTACTCTGTCCAGCTCTTCACGTATGTTAATTCATTTAATCCTCAAAAGAACGCTAAGAGATATACAATTATTGCCCCCATTCTGACCTGACTCCCTATGTCAACCTAATCTATTCCAATTCTGCCAATCTAAAAAGAAGGAAACTGAAGTCCTTCCAGAGATGGATAGGTCTCTGCCCAATGTCACAGAACAGGAAGAAAAGGGCTGGACATGGTGCTGTGTGCAGATATGGAGTCATCTGGTCCATCCTTCTGCCCCCAGGCTCCCAAGAGCCTAGCACCCACTTTCACTCATTCGGCTGTCCCTCTAAGAGGCACCCGGTAGTTCTGTCACACACCCAGAAGGGTGTGACTGCTACTTACCTTCACCTTGCCCCTGGCTCTGCCCACCCCTCATATCTGCCCTCTGACTCTGAGATGGAAGAATATTCCTTCTTCAGAAGCTAGCCCGGCTACTCGTGCCCTGTCCCCAGTCACTGCAGTGGGAGTTGTCAGCACTCAGGCAATGACTCAGGCTTAGTTCATGAAAGACTGCTCTGAAACACTAAGGCTGCGGGCCAGGAAGGACATCCAGAGGTCATGGGATCCAGCCCCCTGCCTTCTCTGCATAGGCCCCACCTTGGGCTTCTGATGCGGAGACCAGATGGGCCCCAGGGCCCACCAACTTCCCTGGCTTCCCTGGGTCACCGGGAACACTGCTTCCCTTGGGAATTCTTCCCTCTCAGAATCTCCTTTGGAGTTGGTTCCCCCATGAATTAACAGGAAAGTGAGAGGAGGAAGCTGTTTCTTCTCTCTGCCCCAAGGAAAGCACTGGGAAGGGACCTATCTCTCAAGAAAGGAGGGAAAGAAGAAAACAACTTTCCCTGCTGTCTTCCCTAGGCTAAGGGGAGCTTCCTCAGTCATTCTCCTCACAGTGAGGTAGGCACTGCCTCTGCATTGCTGATGAAGAAATCAAGGCTCTGAAAGGTTTAGCTACCTACCTAAGGCCACACAGTTAATTTGTGTTTATATAGGTATAAGAGTCTAAGAAACTCAGAATCTCTGCTCTTTGGGGGGATACGGGTACCTCCCCTTAGGAGGTCTCCAACACAGAGGAGGCCCCTGTTTCCTCCAGCCTATGCTAGATGGAGGGCCTGTTGACCCTATCTCAGGGTGCTTCAAGCACCCCTAAGTCTGAGTGCCCAGGGAGGGATGTTGGACTAACCTGGGCTGGGCCAGAGGGAAGACAGCAGCCGTCAACTCAGAAGGCACTGGCAGAAGGCTGGCTAATGGATGGGCCTTAGGGGAGACTGGTCTGAGGGCTGAGGCCAGGATCCTTCGAAGCATCTTTTAAGAAAGCTAGCACTCAGAGTCAGTCTGCGGCTGATGTGGGTGGATCTGGAGCGGGAGGGGACTAGGCCCCCACAACCACAAACCCTCACTTCCGACCTTGTCCTACTTCTGCCACTGACAAATAAATCTCTATTCCTGCACAGAGTAACCTGAGCAGGGCTCCCATGGTGAGCTCACTCTTGGGAGGACAGAGATTGGATGAATGGCTATATGCAGGGGCTGCAGGAGGGGGGACCCAGGGTTCAGCCTCTGTTCCCCAGGGCTGGCATAAAGGCAGAACCCTCTTGAGCTCCCCCCCACTCCCCCGCACCACCAATCTCATCACCCACAGCAGAGGAGCCCCTGGAAGGAGGGGGACTTTGATCCAGAAGTTTCTTCACCCACCCTCAAGGAAGGATTCCTTCAACCCCCAATCTACCTCCCTTTCTTTGGACAGGCCAAGAGATAAAGCTCAAAGAGATACCTTCAGGCCAAATGGACAGGGACAACTTGGAGAGTAAGAACCTCCCTCCCGCAACATCTCCCTAGCCCCTGATCTATCTCCATTTGTGATAGGGTCTCTAGGAGGGGAACGCGTCTTGGAGACGTTTGGGGACCTTAGGTGTGGGGACTGAGGCCCCTTTTTTGCTGAATTCCAAAGACCAAGCCCCGAGAGGAATCTTGCTTTGCATCCACAAAGGAGGGATTGTCAGGTCTGGCCTTTGACACATGATGTTAAATTGTCCCTTCTCTGCTTGAGGAGCAGAGTCCTCTGCTTGAGGGCTATGAGGACATCCCCTCACAGTCAAGGGATGCGTATATTTGGAGTCTCCAGGGCAGACACATCCAGTTAATGGGGCAGAAGGGTCCACATTCTTCCACTACTTCGCTATCAGAAAGTCCTAACTTTGATGTCACTCTCATCTATCCTTCTGCAGATCCAACCTTTTCCTGTTCCCTCAATCCCATCCAGTCTCTAATATGGTCTCCCAAGACTTCCACGACTTTGTCACGCTCCCCATTCCGGGTCTTTCGGTGTAAAACTACCCCCTGCCCCACGTCTTTACCCTTCACGCTCTTCCCCATCTTATCGAGCCCCCGCTAGGCTCCGCCCACCTCGCGCTCCTGGCCACCAAGGCAGCCAATAGCTGAGAAGCTGATTTTGCATAGCGGCGCGGGGGAGCCTCGGAGGGAAGGGGGAGGGACCTGGCGACCTCCTAAATCAAAGTTGGAAGGCGAGGACTGGGCGGAGGGGCCTCCGGGTGCCGGGCCGGGGCCGGCGGGGGGAGGGGGAAAGGGATGGGGGGCGGGCACAGAGGACAGAGGAGCCGGCCGGACACGGACTGCTCCGTCGCTCCCTCCCTCAGCTCATCCCCGCGTCCCCACTTCCCTCCTCCCCTCGCTCGGAGCAGCATCCTCTGCAGACCCTCGGTCCTCATTCCCGGGGTCGTCCGGCTTCCGCGGCTCCGTGTAATTACCCCCCTTCACTGGCCAACCCGGGAACTTTCTCCGCCCGCTCTCAGCAGTGGGGGGTCGCTTTGCCTGGGCGGATTTTTCCTGGGGTTCACTGGGGGGGAAGTCTCTGGAGAAGGGCCTCAGGGTCCCAGAGAGACGTCTGCCACCTGCCACCTGCACCCAGCAGACCTGCCGTCGGGTTTTGGCACCCTCTCTCCCCCTCTCCCCCAATCATGACCGAAATGAGCGAGAAGGAGAACGAACCGGATGACGCGGCCACCCACACCCCCCCGGGGACCATCTCTGCCCTCCAGGAAACCAAGGTAACTCAGGACGGTAGAGGCCTGGACCCCTGCCCGGGTGCGTCCCCAGCCCGGGTGCCCTCTCCCCGACGCGGTCACCGCTGTGGGCTCGGGTCACGGCAGCGGGACCTGTGTGATCCCGAAGGCTCTACGTGGTGACCTGGGAGAGTGGGTTCGCGACGAGGGGCCACCGGGAGCGCCCATCACACAAGCACGACACGCCCTTGCGCGCGTGATGAGCGGACACGCTGCCGCGACCCTCCGGGGAGGTTGTAACTCGGCTTTGTTGGAGGGAATCGGCGCGGCTAAAGCGGAGGGAGTGTGTAGCGGTGTGTAGCGGTGTGTAGCGGTGTGTAGCGGGTGTGGGCCGGTGTACGCGCCGGTGTGTGCGTGCGAGGCGCACCCCTCCCGCGTCCGCCAGGTCTCTGTAGCTCAGTCTGTCCCTCTCTGCCTGTGACTCTCTGAAAATGTCTCTACAACCTGTTTGTCTTGGTGTCTCTCCCGCTTTCTTTCGGCGTCTATATATGTTTATCTCTGAGTCTCTTTGGATGTCTCGCTGGATGTCTCTCTCGGACCCGCCGCAGTCCCGCATTACCCCCTTCCAGCCAGGTTAGGCTCGGGGACGTGAGGCCGCGGCCCGGGGGTGCGTAGCTTCCGAGTGCTCGCTGGGGGCTGCGGCAGTGCTGGCCATCGCGGGCGGGGACCGGGGACTGTTGCTGCGGCTCCAGAGCAGAAGGACAGGCAGCCCCACCCCCCACCCCGGGAGCGGGACAGGGGGCGGGGGTGGGGGGCGGATAGAAGCAAAAAGAGAAGTCATCGTAATTAATGAATGTCATAATTAACTCTAATTATGTATGATTGTTACTCCTGCGGGAGTCGCAATGAATAAATTATTCCCCAGTGAAGGCAGGCGGAACCCAGACTCCTGGTGCTATAGGGGTTGGGGGAGGCCACCCCTTAAATTTAATGCTCTCCCCCCCCAACCTCTAATCTGTCCACGTCCTCCCCAAGTTCTAGATGTTCAGGAGTGACCCGCAAGAAGTTTTTCGGGGAGCAACATGAACTGAGTGGGCTGGGGATGGGAGATAAAAGGAGGCTTGTGTCAAGGGTGCTCTCTGCCTCCTCCCCAGACTTCAGGCCAAGGCCTCCTTCCTTCTCCCTTCCACCCTGGTGTTTTGTTCCCACCTGCTCCTGTTTATCCAGTAGAGGAGAGGGACTGAAGACCAAAAAAAAATGGGTGGGGTCTTTGGCTCCTTCCAGGTGTGGAGCTCATCTATAGCTCTTTCCAATGCCCATCTTGCTCTTAATTCAGTCCAGGCCACCTCTCAGGATATGAGGTTAATTCAAGGTCAAGGTCATCTAGAGAGTGACCAGGGGTAGATGAGTAGGGGCAGGGTGGCACTTGGCTGAGGCTCCCCAAGGAGCTCCTCCTCTCTAAACCAGTGAGACCCACTCCATCTCCATGTCAGTCTATAGATCAGAACTTGACCTTCTTCTGCCCGCTTCTGAAAATGAGACTCTGGTCTCTCAGACCACAGAGTTAACTCCACCTCAGAGATCCAAGTCTCTACTAGGAAAGGAGTCAGGTCTTGGGGTGGGAGGATCTTGCTTGGAGTATTTGTGATGGCTATTTTTTTTTAAAGCAGAGGGTCCCAGGAGCTGAGCCCCATCCTGAGTGCCAATATCCCTGGCCTTCCCAGTTGCCTTGTAGTGGCCCCCGACGGATACATTCCCTTTGCTTCCCAAGGGCATGGGGGTCTTCCAGGCCCTGCCTTGCTTCCCACAGGAGGCCGGGCTGCCTGCTCCCCTTCTTAAGACCTCTCCGAAAGCAGGCAGGAGTTGAGGTAGTGCTGTCTCAGCAAACCCAGAGGCTGCCAGCTCAGCTGTGTGGGCAGGGAGAGGGCAGGAGGTGGGCAGGTCTGCATCTCCCTCGCCCAGTGCAAGGACTCCAATGCTCTCACCTCTGAGCCTGATCCAGGGACATCCCAAGAGCAAGAGGAGGGGGATTGCATACATCGCCCTGCCCCTTTGCCCCCCCTTCCCTAAATCTCACCCTTGTGAAGGACTGTGATCACCCCCAGGCTGGGCTGGGGAGCTGGGTGGGGGTGTTCAGGAAGGCAGACATGGCAGGGGGAGAATTCAGGGCCCTACCAGCCCCTTTAGCTCCCAGCATCTCAACCTGTCCCAAAGAAGCTTGGTCTTCAGACTATAGAACTTGGGGAAGGGGGAAGGGAGAGTTTGAGGCAGGTACAAAGAGGCAGCTGGTGTCCATTAGGCAGTGAAGCCAACATTCCAGAATCATTCATCAGTGCTGGGGTCCCCTGGGCATTCCTTGCCAGCCCAAGTTCAGCCTCCTGCTCATACTAAGGTTGGATCACATCCCTGCACCCGAGCTACTCAGTGACCCTCCTGCTACCATCTTTGCCATCCCTGGGTCGCCATGCCATCCTACCACAGGGTGGTACCATCACCCCCTTTGGTGCCATCCTTGGGAAGACCCTGCCATGCCAGCTCTGCCATCTGAGTCAGCTTGTGCCACACCCGCCACCACCCACCGCCAGCTGCCTAGTGCCCTTTCAGGAGCTGGAGGGAAGTGAGGAGATGCTGCGGGGAGCTGAGGAAATGAAGGGACCATCCAGTCTGTGGGGAGGTGGGGAGGAGGCAGGCAGGCCAGGCCCCGCCTCCGGGAAGGGATTCAGGAGAATGGGCCTGGAGGTCCAGTCTCCAAGCCAGACAAGCTCCTGGGACATCCAGAGAGAATAGGATCCAGGTGGGTCAGCTTGCCAGGGTACATGGCAACTTCTCCCAGGGAATGGGTCCTGGGATACTGGGGGGCACCAAACAGATAGCTGATGGGAGATAGGGAACTAGGGAGTTAGTCCTCTCTGGGAAATAGGATTTGCAAGAGTGGGAATACCTGACCAGGCTGAGCCAAAATGAGGTTTGAGTATCCAAGCCAGATGTCTCTTGAGGGGACAGGCATCAAGCCATTTGGCAGATGTGCCCCCATCCTGCTGTCCAGCCATAACACTTGACATCTGCCAGCCATCCCAGGTGATACATTATTCCTTCCGGCTTCTCTCCCCTGCTGGGATCTGGGGCCTACGGCAGAACCAGAAAGTCGGGGGCAGAATTGGGGCTGCCCCAGTGCTGGGGAACATTCTGTTCCAAAGACCTCTGTACCCTGCAGAGGTGGCTCTTGGCACTGAGGCCAGGGGAAGACCAGGAAAGGGCAGAGGCTGGAGAGTAAGGAGGCTACACATCTCATCCTGTGGAGATTACTATGGAAATAACAGCCTTGGGCGGGAGGGACAGGACTGATGTCTTCAAATATTTGAAGGACTGATGTACATATAAGAGGGAGTGGCCCTTTCTGGAGCCAAGGGAGGAACAGAGCCGATAGGCAAAAAGATCTCAGGGAGGCAGGTTTCAGCTCTATATAGGGAAGCACTTTGCTGCGACTGCAGCTGCCCAAAGATGGAATGATTGTCCCAGGAGACGGTGTGCTTCCTGCCACAGGAGGTGACCCGCAGTCAGACAACTGTTCACAGGGGATGTGGTGAAGGCATTGTGGGCCGATTTTATGGGCTGGGGACTACTCTAGGTGGCTGCTCTTGCACGTTCCTTTCAACCTTACATTTCCTGGTTGACCTGGCGGGCAAGACCATGGCATCGCTGAGGGTCAGGAGTGAGTGAGGGCCAAGGCAGAGCCCAGAGCAGCAGGACTCTTCTGGTCCTTTTGGCTCAACAGCCAAAGCCACTGTTCAAGTCCTGGCTCTGCCACTTAGCAGCTGAAGACTCACTGCATGTGGGTGATTTCACTCCTAGGCGCCTGTGAGTTCATCTGCAAAGTGGGACCGTCATCGTCGCTGTGTCGGCAGGAAGAGCCAGTCTTCATGAGGTCCTTCAGGAGGAGTGCTAGCTCGACCACAGTATTTTGACAAGGACAGCCCCTCATTATAGCTTTCTGTTTTTACTTTTTGGACCCAGAGCCCTGCATTGCTTAGAGAGCATCTAGTCCTGCCTCTTTCCTCTTGGACGTGGGGAAACTGAGGCTGAGAAAGTGGAAGTGAAGTGACTTGCCTTGAGACCACAGGAGTAGTTTTGTGCCCATGCCAGCACAGCCTCCCAGAGCCCTCTCGTGCTCTGTGCTCTGGCCCCTGGGCAGAATGGTAGGTGGTCCTCCCCACCTCACTCTGGGCCTCTGAGAGCCCCCAGAGTCATGTGGGCTCATAGAATACCTTTGTGTTCTAATTAATTGTCCGTCCAGGCCTCCACCTCTGCCCTAACACCCAGGGATCTGGGACCTGAGGCCCTGCTTCTCATAGACGCACAAAGAAGCCTACAGTGCTGCACAGGAAGCTGAGTTTGGAAGGCAAGAAGCTGGGCAACTCAGCGTGCCAGGCACCCCAAGGCTCCCAGCTGGCACAGCGGGGCCTGCCTCGTGCCCAAATATCGCCTTCTCCCTCCTGCTTCTTCCTATGTTTTGCCACCTGCCGGCCTCCCTGGGGTCACGCAGGCTGCTTGGAAGTGCCAGCTGGGAACCCTGACCAATTCTCCCAGCCTGAACCCAGGCCTCCCGCCCCCTTTACCGATCGCCGCTGGGAAGGAGTGGGCAGGAGTGAGGGGGCTCTCCCCAGAGGGGAAGAGGTTCAAGGATCTGGGTAGAGATGTTTCCAGACCTCACTCTGGGCAGACTGTGAGAAGGATATGTTGGGGTGAGCAATGGAAGGAACTCTGGGCTGGCTGCAGAATGGACCCAGCATTCCAGAACATGGCTTCCATTTAGGATTCCAGGCACTCGCCCATCATTTGATCAACAAACATTGACCAAGTAGCTACTATGTCTTGGGGCTCTGTGTGGGGGTTTCATTCAACTGTCCCTGGCCTCGAGGAGCTCCAGTGTCCTGAGGTAGTAAGAAGTAATTGACAACGTAAACCAGATTGGGTCTGTAATGGAAGTCGGTACTAGGTGCAGTGGGGCCCAGAGGAGGGAGAGGTTATACTCAACGGAATTCCTGCAGAAGAAGAGACTGCTTCCCAGAGGAGGAACAGTCACTGGAAACCCTGAGGTATAAAGAGGATATTCACTGGATAAGGCAGAGAAGAGGACAAACACATCAAAAAAGTGCAGAGGAATAAACACGGACGGGTTTGAGAATCCCCGTGTCTGGGCTGCAGGTGGAAGGCATGGGTGGGAAGGGAAGGCTTGGCCAAGCTGCAGAGTCTCCTGATGGGGCCAAGGGCCTTGACTGTGTCCTAAGGAGCCATGGAAAGTGGTTAGCGAAGTCAAGGATCACCTCTTTGGCAGCTGTAGGGAGAACAGGGGGAGATGGGCAGGGTTGAGGCAGGGACTGTGACCCTGAACTGGGGCAGGGCTGTGGAGACGATGAGGTGATTATAGGGGATGGGCTGGAGAGCGATTTTGGAGGAAGAATCAGCCCCTGAGGATGAGGGTCCAGGATGACCCCTCCCCAACTCCCAGCCTGGTGGACAACACAGGTGGAAAACTGGAGACCTGGTGTGTCTGTTTGGCCCCCAAAGTATTATTTTGTTTAACTTGAGTAAATAGTACACCCATACGATGAAATGCTATGTAGCCATAAACAAGTATGATGAAACTCTTTATGCGTTGGTATGGAATGATTTCCAAGATTTACTGTTAAGTGAAAAAAGCAAGGCGTAGGAAACATAGTACACTACCATTTCTGTAATGAAAAAAAAAAATGCAGTACAACCTCTTGAATTTGTTTCTATCCAAATTCACAGAAAAGTCTAGATTTCTTTTGAAAAATTGGAAAGCCTGACCCCACTGGGCTGGCCGTCTGGACTAGCCCCCGTTGTCCAGGGAACCCCAGCAGCTGCTCTCTGGCTGGCCAGCCTGTCACAGTGCTCAACACTCCCAACTGTGCCTTCCCAGCCAGACCTTCTTTGCTCATGGACGCTCCCTACCTGGCTCCTGTCGGCATCTGGGATTGGGACCACCTTCTGGAACAGGGCAGCCTCTGTCTTAGTACTTAGAGGCTGCGAGGTTGCGGCTGACCAAGGAGCTATCCTGGCTGGGAGCCAGTCCCCTCTGGCTTTTGCTTACAGCCCCACTTCCTCTCTCAGCTGCAGCGGTTCAAGCGCTCGCTTTCCCTCAAGACCATCCTCCGAAGTAAGAGTGTGGAGAACTTCTTCCTTCGCTCGGGCTCTGAGCTCAAGTACCCCACTGAGGTGCTGCTGACGCCCCCAACCCCACTGCCCCCTCCCTCCCCACCACCAGCATCTACAGACGGGGGCGTCCCGACGCCGGCCCCCTCCCCCTGCCCCATCCCACGGCCCCTGGCACCACTCAAACCAGTAAGACTGCACAGCTTCCAGGAACATGTCTTCAAGAGAGCTAGCCCCTGTGAGCTGTGCCACCAGCTCATTGTGGGTACGTGCCTGCAGTGTCAAGGAGAGGGGTTGGGGGGGCGGTGGGGAGTATACCCAGGCCAATGTTGGGCTCTTGCTACTCAGGGCCTCCGTCCTCACCGCACCCCTCACCCTGGGTGGACCAACGGGTAACCTTGGGGTGGGCAGGTGCCCAGGGTCGCAGCGTTTACTAAAAACTTGGGCTTCGGTTGATGCTGCGAGTGTATGAGGGGTAGGCATGCGGTCCCCAGGCTGACACGAGGATGCCCGACCCCTTCCTCTGTCCAGTGCCCCACCTGCCCCCTCTGCTTCTTGCCCCTGGATGTACCCTCCTTGGCCTAATTGTTCTTGTTGAACCCAAATTCTTCCCAGGAAACTCCAAGCAGGGTTTGCGATGTAAGACGTGCAAAGTGAGTGTCCACCTCTGGTGCTCCGAGGAGATCTCCCGCCAGCAATGCCCAGGCAAGGCGGTGAGTGGGAAACATGGCTGGCTGTGGGTGCCCCCCACAAAGACTGGCCTGTGAGGGGAATGAGTGCCCCCCTCCAGGCCGGTTCCTCCCATGGGGTGGTCCTGGGGCTCGGGGAAGGACAAGCTACACCCTCATGCCCTCTCTCTGCTCCCTCTTGCCACAGTCCTCCTCCTTCCGTCGCAACTTCAGCTCCCCGCTCCTGGTGCATGAGCCACCCCCCACCTGTGTCACAAGCAGAGAGTCCCCACCCACTGGTGAGTGTTTCCCCCATGGCCTCTGATTCCACATCCCAGGCATGTGATGAGAAACCCACACATTCCTTAGATGGGCACCTGAGTCATGTGGCACTGCTGGTCCTTGGCACTTCCCTGCTCTGAATGCCCTTGTCCTCAATGGAGGGGTACTCATTCATTCCTTTATTCATTCATCCTTCAACAGACATCTTACGGGACACTTATAAGTGCCAGGCATCATGCTAGGGGGACACAGCACTGAAGAAGGTGGAGTTCGTGGTCTAGTGAGGCAGCGAGACATGAAAGAGCTAATCACACAAATCGGCAATCAATCACCATTCTCATGAATGCCTGAACTGAGAAGGGTAGAGACTAGAGTCAAGCAGGCACTGTCCTCCTCCGCAGGGAGAGGGAAGGCGTCCGAAGATATGAAGGATGGGGAGGCATTCCAAGAGGATCTGGAGAAAACTGGTGTGGGCAGAGAGGGTCCTGGAGTGGGATGGGGCAGGGAGTTAAAGAGAAATGACGTCTCGGCTGTGAGGGAGTGAAAGTGACACAGGGCTTCAGGGCAGAGCAAGGTTGGCTACCGGGTGCCCGGCCTTGAGGGTGGCTCATTGGCAGGGGCCAGCGGCAAGGTAGACCCCGTCTATGAGACCCTGCGCTATGGCACCTCCTTGGCTCTGATGAACCGCTCCAGCTTCAGCAGTACCTCTGAGTCCCCCACGCGGAGCCTGGTATGTCGGGCACCCAAGGGGAGCCTGGGAGGCAGGGGTCTCTGAGGGTGAGGGTCCAGGGACTGACCCTTCCCCCGTGTGTCCCCAGAGTGAGCGGGATGAGCTGACTGAAGATGGGGAAGGCAGCATTCGTAGTTCAGAGGAGGCCCCTGGAGACAGTGGTGAGTGGAGGTGGGGACCAGAGGACCAGGAGGTGGGGACCAGGGGCAGGGAATGGAGCCCAGGGCGGGCCACTCCCTGCGGCCTCATGCCCCCGCCCTGCCCTGGCATCTCTAGTATTCACAGCCCCGGCTGAGAGTGAAGGGTCAGGACCGGAGGAGAAGAGCCCCGGACAACAGGTGAGGTTATGCGGGCACTGAGCCCTGGGAGGCCAGATGGCAAGGGACTGTTACTTCTTTTTGTCATTGATCCATAGGTGGGTGCGAGCATGGTGAGTGGGGGTGTCACTGCTGTCATTTATCCTCAGTCTACGGGGATGGGCAATGCCAGGGTGAGTACGCAGGAAAGGGGGGTAGCCCCCCCCACCATGGAGCCAATGCTGCTGTCCCCACTCCCATGCCAGCTCCCCAAGACTGGGCCGTTCCAGGGCGCAGCAAGGTGCAGCAAGGCACAGAGAGTATTCCCTTTCTCCGTCCTTGGCCTGGTCCCCCAGGGATGAACCCGGAAGATAGAAGAACTTGACCTCTCCCCGTCATGGACCCAGGGGCACTGTGTCCCAACCCCTAGCAAACCCCCCCTCCCAACCAAGGATAGGCAGGTCAGGGCCAGTGAATAGTGGGTGGAATGAGGAGAGTGTCCTCTTCCCATCACTGACCCAGAGCTTTTCCACAGCCCCCCAAACCCCTTCTGCGGAAGGACGTGGGACCCATGTATTCCTACGTCGCGCTCTACAAGTTTCTGCCCCAAGAGAACAACGACCTGGCTCTGCAGTAAGTCTTCTTTGTGGTCCAGCCCCACCAGGCAGCCACCCAGCTCCAGCTCAGGGCCCTGCTCCTGGACCTTGGAATACGAGTGTGAGGGGGACCTTAAGGAACCTTCTCCCGGCATGCATGAGACAGCTGAGCCCAGAGAGGAGCTGGACTTACCAGAGTCCAAAAGGGATTGGCGCTGATGTCCTCTCTCCTGCCCCCGGCCCGGGTTCTGCCCTACAGCGTCTGCTGTCCCTGTGGTCACAGTGTCCTCTGAGGGCGTCAAGAATGCTCCCCCAGCTGCAGGGTGGGGGCATGCTGGGGTTCTGGGGGCCCCAGATCGTTAAGATGTGGAAAGGGCAGGTCCCTCCTGCCCATTTACAACCCCAGCTCTGTCCTCCCAGGCCTGGGGACCGGATCATGCTGGTGGATGACTCTAACGAGGACTGGTGGAAGGTGACTTGGCAGGGTGGGGAGCAGAGGGACCCTGGTAGGCACCCCACCATTCCCCACCTTCAATGGGCATTGCCTCACCTTCTTCTCTCCAGGCCCAAAGTCCTCCCTTCCTCCAGCCACTGGCCCTCACTAAGCCTAGGACCAGCACTTGGGACTTGCTCTCACTTTGACCCTCCCTGCCTCAGCCTTGTCCCTCTGCTCACCTCATGCCCCTCCCAGTGCAGAAGGCACCCTCTGGGGGTTCGGATACAGGAAGCCCAGGATCTGGAGTTTGATGGCAGTGGCTCTGAACGGGCAGCGAGTCTAGAGGAAGCGATGTTGGGGCGGGGGACATGGGTGCTCATTGCCAGCCTCATCCCCAGGGCAAGATTGGCGACCGGGTTGGCTTCTTCCCAGCCAATTTTGTGCAGCGAGTCAGGCCAGGCGAGAATGTTTGGCGCTGCTGCCAACCCTTCTCTGGGAACAAGGAACAGGGGTACATGAGCCTCAAGGAGAACCAGGTGAGTTCCTGGGCCCCGCAGCAGCCGGAGAGGTGGGCAGGAGAGGGGCGCCAGGGGCGGCATGAACGCCCTGGAGGAGGACACCTCCAGCCTGGCAGCGGGAAGGAAGGAGGGTTAGGAAGGTGGGACTGCAGGGCCCTCCTGTCATCTCCTGCTGGGAACTGGGGCTGGTGGCCAACACAGGCAGGGGGCTGAACTGGGTTAGAGACAGCTTGGGGGAGGGGAAGAGCACTGCATGAGGAGTCTGAAGGCTTGGGTTTGAATGTTGGCTACGCCTCTGGCTTGTTTTTTAAGCTCCGGCAAGCCCTTTTCCCTCCCCTTACCTCCCCTGCGAAATGGGAGTTCAGCTGGGGCGTTAGGCCAGCTGATCTCACAGGTCAGCCCCAAAGTGCTGCTCGGCATCTGCTGATGTCCTGATCTTGCTGTCGAGCCCAGTACCCTCATGGGATCTGCTCCCGTCACCCCAGCTGATGTCTCCAACCACATCTGATCCTGGTCCCATCAGTCCCTGGGGTGGCCCCCTGGGAGCCATCAGCAGGACTCAGGGCCAGGGCTGCAGGCAGAGCCAGGACTCGGCTCCTTGTCTCTCCCACTCAGATCTGTGTGGGCGTGGGCAGGAGCAAGGATGCTGACGGCTTCATCCGCGTCAGCAGCGGCAAGAAGCGGGGCTTGGTGCCAGCCGACGCCCTGACCGAGATCTGAGAGGAGCCAAGAGAACCCAGATGCCACCCTGCCCATGCCTGGCCCTTGCTTCTGGTCCCGGAGGGGAAAAGGCATCTGCCCTCTGCCTCTTTCCTAGGGGCCACTCCCCGGGACTTGGGAGCCTTCTGCACTGAGGAAGGTTTTATTTCTTGGGTCCCAAGTTGCCCTGAGGGAGTTGCTCCTCTGGGGCTTGGGAATGTGGAAGGAGGAGAAAGTGGGAGGGAATGGGGAAGCTCCAGGTAGGTCCAGCCCATGCCCGGACATCATCAAGTTGCCACGCTGAATGCAGCCCTGGGGAGGGGGGTGTTCCTGGGGAACTTTCCTGCTGCTTTGTCCAGAGAGCCTTCCCACGTCCACACCACCTCTGCATGCCCGACACTGTCCCCCTCGCCCCACAGAGCCCCTGCTTGGGTTTACGTTCGTGACCTTGCAGCTGCCGCTTTGGAAGGAAGTGGGGCCTTGGGAATGTGCCTTCCCAAGTCCCTCAGGTCTCCGCCCTCCGCCCGGGCTCAGGAGGCGGTTCAGGGCTGCGGAGGATCCTGAGTCCAACTCCTGGTTTCACCCTCTGTCCCTCCATCAGTTCTCAGGAAAGTTCTGCGGGAATCTCTCCCCTTACTTGAAACCCCTGGCAGATAGAGGAGGAGAGGGCTGAGTTCTGGGGAAAGCGCGGTAAATCAGAGACTGTCTCCTCAAAGAGAACGGTCAGTCAGCACAGAGCGGCCTCGTTGTGCCCTTGCCTACTGGGGAAGGACACTCAGTAGCAGCCTGCACACAGAAACCTGACTGAGAACAAAAAAAAAAAACAGCCTGTGCTTGGTCAGAACCCTCATTTGACTGTCAGGAATCTGGAAGTCCCAGCTAGCAGGACTGACCAGCCAGGGGAGCTGTGCTTAGTTTCTGCCCCAGGTCTCACAGGGCCCAGCCCCGGGAGCCCCACCCTCAGTGCCAGCCTCCATATGGCCCTTCCTCACCCCATTCTTCTGGGCCTTGCCGGAAACACTGGGACCCCTCCTTCTGTGCAAGAGTCCCTCTTCTGGTTGTATCTGTGCCCTTCTCCTGGACACCCAGTCCTGAGAGGAAGAGGGAGTGGGAGATGGTCAAGACCCATCATTCTGTTTGGCCACCAGGAAAGGAAGGGGGTAGGCACCTTGAGTGTGGGGTGGGCACACACATGAAGAGGACCCCTCCCTGGCGGGTTGCTTTTCTCTGGTGCCAACCTCCCTCCCCCCACTAAGCTCAGAGCCTCCTCTCGTGCCCTTGATCGTGCCAGCCAATGCCAGCCCCCATCCTGGGCACAGTCACACCCTCCCACACAGTAGGAGGGACACATCCTCCTACCACTGGCCCCTGCCCCATTTCTCCCCCTCCATGGGGGGCTCAAGCCACACTGCCCTGTTTGCTGCCACGGGGTCCCCCCAGCAATATCCCAGGGGCGGGCCCCATGCCCACGGTACATAAGGCTGCATGATGGGTCTACGGGGGCGTTGCTGAGCCCCTAGACCCTTTAAATAAATGTTTCTTGTCCCAATCTGTCTGCTCCGCGTGTCTGCTTGGGAGAGAGGAAGGAAAGGTGCAAGGAGTGGGGCGGGGGCTTCAGGTGCCAAAAGGAGACAAGCCTGGAGGAAGAGGAATTTGTGGATCTCTGAGAGGACCGGAGCTGGGATAGACCCAGACATGGCAGGGGTCCCCATGCTTCCGCAATCCCTTCTCCGGGCTGCTGCCCGAGATGGGGGATCTGGGGAGGAGTTCGAGAGAAAAGCAGGGCAGGGGTGGGGTGGGGAGGGGTGGGATGTTCCGGGATGCTGGAAGGGGAGAGGGTGCAGCTGCGGTCACTTTCTGGCTCGATGCACACCTGCGTCCGCAGGGGACGGGCGCCCAGCCATGAGCCTCAGCACCATTTCCGCGCAGCCGTTGGTGGCCCCTGAGACCCCCCTCCCCGAGATTAGCCTCGCCCCCGCAGCCCGGCAAACACGAGGCAGAAAGGCCGGCGGCGCGGACAGTCTCCGACAGTGGGGCCCCCCCAGATGACTCAGTCCCGCCCGTCATGGAGAGCCTGGCACGCTGGGGGCCGGCGGCAGCGCCCCTCCCGCACCAGTGCCCGCCGCCCACCTGCTCCGCCGCAGAGCTGCCTCCCTCCCCTCCGCCTGCCTGGCGGCGTCATAGCCAAGGCAGGCACGTCCTGTGCTATTTATAGGCAGAGGGGAGCGCAGAGGGAGAAAGAGGCGGGCTGCGGGGGGGCCAGGGCCACGCCAGTGCCACCAGAATGCGGGAGCGTGTGCTGCCCCTCCTGGTCGGGACCCAGCGCTTCTGCCTTCTAGCCCTCCACCCCCCAAAGCGAGGGCGGCCAGCTAGGGCCAGACGCAGAGCTTTCCTAGGGCCCCTTCAGCCAGGGAAGGCCCTAGAGTTTGGTGGGTGAGCGGGAGGGGGAGGATGACCTCTCCTTTCTAGGACCCCTGGTAATGGGTATGAAAAAAGGGGTCACAAACTCAGTCCAGGGGCTTCAAGAGAGGAGAACTCGGCTAAAGAGGCACCTTCTGTGCCTGGAGAACCATGCCAGGAACTTTATGTAATCCTCTCAATGACCCAGCAAGGCAAGGGGCACTCTCCCCTTTTCACAGATGAAGAAACTGAGGCACAGAGTTATTAGGGGACATATTCAAGGTCATAGAACTTATTCAGCCCTGCCTTGCCTCTTTTATACAGAGGGACACTGAGGCCCAGAGTGGATCAGTAACTTGCCCAAGGTCAACCAGCAAATTGGTGAGCAGGCCAGTATCAGAAACCATGTCTCTTGCCTCCCAGTTCAGCTCTCTCCTGACCAGGGTCCCTGGGTGCCTAAAAATAACAAGATGGAAACAGAGACACCCTGAGACGCTGAGCCAGGGGCTCTGGGGAACGAAAGCCCACCCCGCTGGAGAGAGGGAAAGCCTTTCAGCCAAGCTTTCTGCACACTGCGCTTGTGCCTGCCCCCAGCCGGCAGCTGGCCTGGACCCCCGCCTCCTCCCCAGCCCATTTGCCGCACTGCTGAGTACAGCAGCTTTTTCGGGTGGCTGAACCACTACCAGCACGCTCACAGCCTGGGGGCGGGGAACAGCTGGTGCCCCCACGATAGCCTCTGCCCTCCTCTGTGCCATTCTGGGAGGTGGCTGGGCCAGCGATACCCCTGGCCTTGGGCAGAAGATGTCCAGGAACTGCTGGTGCCTGCTCCCCGTTTGGCTCTATTGTCTGACCCACGCATGCCCTCCCTCCCTCCTTCCACCTCAGCCTGCGCTTAACCTGGCATAGATGGTCTGTGGATAGACTTCGGGGAGATGCGAAAAGAGGGGGAGTCTGGAAGCCAGAGACAAGAGGCCTAAAAGAGCAGAGAGATGGATACCAGAGGTGGCGGGGGAGACACAGACAGAGGGAGACCCTCTGCGCAACATCACCCATCTTGCAAGTCCCACTCCCTTTGGCCTTGTTGGCCTTCCTTACCGCCCCCCCCATCCTTAACACATGCCACCCCAATGCTTGGGACAGGCTGGGGACCTCTGCCGAGGAGTGCGAGGGAGGCAGCGGTGGATGTCCAGCCTCTGGCCTCCCTGTGCTGGCAGGGAGCTGGCCTGGGGGTCTCTGTCTCTCAGCCTCAGAGAGCACCGGGAAGGGGTCCAAGGACCCCAGCCCCCTTCTCCTGCCCAAAAGGCCCTGCAGCAGCTGCGGGCCTGGTCCCTGTGTGGCTGCCTACTCTGAATCACACCCTCCCACGTCAGAAGGATCAACGGTAGGTGCTAGTGTCCACACCATGCTAAGATCCTGGGGAGTCCTTGGTTTCTCCAGGCCTCAGTTTCCTCCCCCAGAAATGGAATTAGACTTCTCAGGGAGGCTTTCTTTACCTGAGGGTCATGAGCCCCTTTAAACGATATGCAGAACTATGTGGTGGGACCAGTCCTATGACTTTGAGAGGATGGACCTATCTTTCCATCGGAACGTCCCTAGGCTCCAGGACCTGGACGAGATCCAGAGGTTACTTTCGGGGGCTCTGCCTGCTGAGGCTGCCCCCCACCCTGCCCTGGGAAGGGTTTAGAGGCCCATGGTAAAAAGAAGCAACCTCCAGGTCTGCGGTGAGCTCCAGAAAGAAGTGACTAAACCCGAGGCTTCCCAAGAGATAGGCTCCTAAAACCCAGACCCCTTCTCTCCCACCCCAGCTGCTTCCAAAACAACCCTCAAAATGAGCCGGTATCCTACCCCTCCAGCAACCTGCAGGAGAACAGCGCCATCTCCTGGTCAACGGGGGAAACTGGCTTCGAGTTGCAAGCCCAGGAAGCCTGGTGGAGGGTCCCTGTGGTAACCTTCATCTCCTTCCTGTCATCCCTCCACTGCCTGGAAGGGAGGGGAGGAGAGATGGGGGAGTGGAAGGAGGGTGGCCTACCATGCCCTTCCTCTTGTTGTCCAGCCATGCTTGGGAAGGAGGTATCCCATGATCGAAGCTGGAAGCTTGGTGAAGGTCCTTCCCCTTCTAGGCCGCAGCCTCCCTCCAACCTGGACCGGCAAAGGATTACAGCACAAACTAAAGGATATAGTTCACACAGGCTGCTACAGTGGCGACAGGGAACCCAAAAATCCCGTTCTGATGCACGTGAGCAGTGGTGAAGATTCTCTGGATTTTTCTGAGTCTGAGCTGCCTTGCCTTGGGTCACCCACCTGCCCCACTCTGTCTGGACTGGATGAAGACACTAAAGGCGGGGTAGGAGAGTCTGGTGTCTCCAAGAACATTATCAGTCCTGTCTTCCCCATGCATGTGCAGTTGGGAACATCTGCCCAGCACATCCCCTCAAGTCCCCGATGGGTCAGGAGAGGGGTGGGGGCCAGGGAGGAAACTAGGACAGGCATGCACCTAGCTATGCTGAGGACTAAAGAAGGGGGCCCCTTCTCTGCTATTTTTCTCCCCAGCCTAGACCTCTGACACCCCTGTATTTAACTGGCTGACGCTTCCCACCTGAACATCTGTCCTTCAAACTGCGACCCCACTCCATATATGCAAAGCTCTTCTAGCCATTCTCCCTAAATCACTTGATTCCTCCCTGACCACCAAAGGCATCACCTGCCCAGTCCCCCAAAGCTTGAGGCCTGGGGATCAAGCCACTTCTTCCTTGGCCCCCACAGTGTCTACCAAGTCCTATCTTACTTTCTAAACATCTTGAATCCATTTTCCCGTCCCCAGCATGGAGGTTGTGTGAACAGCACATCACCTCACTGCTTTCCACATCTACAAAATGGAAAATAACTCTACAATGTTCTGGGGATTAGAGAACCCATGTCAATACCAAGTGCCTCACAGACCAGGACTCGCAGAGCAGATCCTTCACCGAAACATGTATTGGTGGTTATCACTACCAGCTAAGTGGCAAAATAAAAACTTTCTCCTGTTTGTAAAAGGGGATACAAATTCATTAAGCAACTCACAATGGCTTCACCAAGTGTTTATTCCAATTTCTGCTGAAAAAAGCCTTTTCCTTTGTGCCCTATGTGATGGATAGAAACCAAAGAAACGTTAAAAGTTTTCAGTAATCTCTACACCCAACCTGGAGCTCAAACTCAGAACCCCAAGATCAGGTGCGGGTTTTATTTTTGTTTTTTAAGATTTTATTTGAGAGAGAGTGAGTAAGAGAGAACATGAGAGGGGAGAAGGTCAGAGAAGCAGTCTCCCTGTGGAGCTGGGAGAGGGATGCAGAACTTGATCCTGGGACTCCAGGATCATGACCTGAGCTGAAGGCAGTTGCTTAACCAACCGAGCCACCCAGGTACCCCAGCTGTTTTTTTTTT